CTATTGATCCTATTTTCAAGTTTACCTACAATTTGTAAATTATACCTTTGTTACAAGTTCAGTCTCATAATCGTTTTAATGGCCTACTTATCTACTTTTGCGATGTTGTCACACGTAAAACACGATCTTTTTAAGAAGCGCAAATGTCATGCAGAGTATGCAACATGCATACACCATCCCAAGACCACAGGTGTTTCAAGTTGAAAAAGTACTTAAACTTAATTCCAAACTTCAAAACATGACATTTCAAAAAATGACATTGCCACAAAATTTTAAATATGAAATCGATGCATTATATTATTCGTGTAATCTTTCATTCGAATAAAAAATAGTGTTCGATACGAGGGCGAAAATTTGTTTTTCGAACTCCTGACGGATTGACACCCTCGACTTCGACTCGGGTGTGAAACGCCGTCGTCGTTCGAAAAACGACATTTTTCGCCCTTGTATCGAAAACTACTATTTCAACACCCTTGTAGGGTCAAGTGCTCTTTTTACGTCAAACTTATTAATGGAAAAAGTCAAATTCTAGCCTATATTTTCTTAGCAAAAACTTTCCTAGGCGTCTTATTGTCGTCTTATGTGCGGATATTAGATTGTGAAAAGTTATCGATCCTACATGAATGATAGGTACTTAATGAAGTTTTCACTTCTCTAATTCCCCCAGACAAATAGAAATTTAAATTAGCCGAGCCCGAGTCGAGCCTGATCCACGCCAAATGCATTTAAAGTTTCGTCAAAACACCGACAGAAAAAAATCATTTATCGGGGTTTCGACGAAACATCAAACGAATTTTGCCGCGGCTCAGGCTCGGCTCATCAGGTCTAGAAATACGCACCATAAGGAGCAAGAAATTATAATGCCCAATAAACATTGGAACATTTCCCAATATTTGCACCCTGGGGATAATGTGAGAAGATTGGAATTTTGTCACTGGTTTTAAACAAATCGAACGAGGATCGTTCGATTCTCGAAAAAATAGTTTGGTAAGATGAATACCGAATTGCAAGTTGCTGTATTCTTAATCGACCTTTAAATGAATTAATTGAGATTTACTTTCAACCCAAAAAGCTCCTCGCAGAAAGCTTTTTGTGTTTAGAAAAAGCACTTTCAAAACCGCAGGATTACCGGATCTAACACCTTCAGATTATTTTCTTTAGGGAAGTCATTTTAACCCGAGAACAACTTAATCAAAGAATGCATGATGCGTTTGCGTAAATAAACCCTTTTCACACAAGGAATGCCCTAAAATCCCTCAGAAAACGGGTCAAGATTACATGGAAAACAACGTAGGAGTTTTCAGACAGTTGCGATTATTTCAGTTTCTGTTTTAATCCTTAATCTGAATCTTTTATTCCGTTTCTTTCGGGTTTATCTATATGGTTTTTCAATTTACTTTCTTGTGTCGGATTTTCCATTTTTTCTCATTGTCTGTTAAAATATTAGCTCTTAAACCATATCCTGCTGTTCCACGGTGTGTTATTCGTGCGAATTCAAAATTATATCTTTTTAAGTTAAAATATTCAAGGTGTTCTAATTGAAAAAAAAGATCCGATAACTTTTTTACCTGTCCACGTATACCCAGTCTGAAAACGGCAGATTATTCAACAATTATTATCAAGAAACTTCACAAACTGTGAATTTTTAGGCGTTGGCGTAGTGCTACGCGTGATACCCCAACCCAGTGAACCGGCGCAGTAACTCAGTTCCGTTGCTGTGTTGGTAGCTTTTTTTATTTGTTTTCAGATTTATTTTAAGGGCCATTTACTAATATTTTAAAAATTTAAAAAATTTCAGAATTTTCCAATTTAACCAAATTAAATACTCTCTTTTTCTAAATGCTCAATTTTCTAGTTTTACTTTAAAACGTTAAAGTATTTCCGCTTCGTCAAAAATTTTGAAATCCCTTTCCAGCTTCGAATTTTTAACAAAAATCAAATAATTTTCTATGAAAAAAGCACACAATAT